TCAGGATAGGTCTCCCCAGACCGACTCACTGGCTGTGAACATTCTAAACTAACACGAGTCTCATTAAGTGTCCAATTTAAGGGTATTACACAGAAACATAAATCAAATATGCACTTTTATTCATTTATAATAAACTCATAAAGTACATCATTCTGATTGAAGCTAAGGGCATACAAAACTATCCAACAGTTAGAACAATTTAAACTTCAGATAAATACCAAACCATAGAGTAAGATAATAGCATATAGGACAACATGATGTTGGGTTTTTTCATACAAAGGTATAAATGGAATATGACCTCTTTTAAGGTTTAGTTGGCAAAAGAATTAAAACCTGCCTTTTGTTTATTTTGGAGAAAGTAGAGTAACTTCTAATTTTCAACATAATCCTGTAGTGGGGAGGACATAAGAACCAAATAGTAAAACCTTTATTCTTCAATGTAAGCATTGAGCTGGGGATGCCATTAGAACTGAAATGATCAAAACACAACTAATTAAGTCGTGACCTTTTCATTTTACCTCTTTATGATTCGATTAAAGCTCAAAAAGTATCTTGAATGTAAGATATTTCTAAAGACTTGGTTTACTTGGGGCTTCTAATAAAGGCCCATGTTTGTTTGCAATGACCTGGGTTGATATTGTATGAAATGATCTGGGGAGTCACAAACTCACAATTTGACAGAAGATATGACCCTTGAAGGTGGAAAACCAACACACGACTTGTATAACCAACACCATGTGGTTGGGACAATGCTTTGTGAATTTGTTTGAAATGGTGGAATGGTATTTGCAAGAGAGCAAGCAAACAGAAGTATACCTGTTCCTGATTCATAATAGCTCTCTGGGAGTGGATCTTCTTTTATCTGTATCAACGTTTTCAACTCAAAATCAGTCAGGCAGGGCTCCATATTTTTCATCAAACACTATGTTGCTTACCTTTAGATCTCCATGGGCAATTGCAGGTTAACAGTAATGGTGAAGGAAGCACAAACCCTTTGCAATTCCAATCACAAGTTGTGTTCAGCTGACCAATTGCAGGATAACACTAATTATTGGCTTTCTTTTCATTTTCATCATTTTTACCTGGTTTCCATTTGGCAAGTAATCATAAAGAAGATAGGACATATGTTTATTGCAACAGAACCATTTTTCATTTGTTTGTACTTCCTCGTTGAAAATGAAAGATGGCCAAAGCTGATACTAGGAAGATTAAAGCTACTCCCACACAAAACAACAGAACCCATACAGACTTTTCTTTGCTTTTGCTCCCTAATCCAAAAAGAGTTATATCAGAAATTTCTTTTGAATAAGGACAGGGTTGCAGAGGTTCTCCACATAGGTGCGGGTTCCCAACAAAGGCACTTGAATCCATCAATCTGAAATTCTTTCCTGGAGGAACAGGGCCAGACATATCATTGAAAGACACATTTAAAAGCATTAAGCTTGAAGAATTTCCAAACTTGGCTGGTATGGAGCCCTTGAGTTTATTTTGTGATAGGTCTAGGACACTGAGAGTAGGAATATTTCCAAGCTCAGCGGGTATATAACCTATCAAGTTATTGTTAGCTAAACTCATCCTCACAAGAACATGGCAATTGGCCACACTATCTGGTACAATCCCTGATAATCTGTTTCCATTTAGTTCAAGTACAGAAAGGGAGTTGCAAGATTCGAATGGAGGCAAACTGCCTGAAATGTTGCAGGAGGATGCTGAAAAATTTCGAAGTGGAAGAGACCATATGCTTGCAGGAATTACACCTCCTAGGCCCGGATTTTGAGAGACATTGAAGTACTGAAGTTTGGAAGCTTGAAATATGTCTTGGGGGATCCCTCCTGTAAACATGTTACTAGAGATATCTACATATGTGATATCAGGAATAAGGCTAAATTTCAATGGAATCTCACCAGAGAGGGAGTTGTCTTCAACCCGGAGACGAACAAGAGAAGAGCAGTTTGTGAGAGTATGAGGAAGCCTACCTGTAAAATTGTTTGAGAACAGGATAAGTTTAAACAACATACCTCCTGCACATAAATCTGGTGGAATCCCCCCTGTGAAACTATTTGTAGAAACATCAACCCATTTAAGTTTAGAGTTCCTGCCCAAGGTCAGTGGCAATGGTCCAGAGAAGAAATTGTTCCATATCAAAAGTGTTTCCAAGAGTGGAAGTTCTGCGATTCCCTCTGGGACAGAGCCACTCATATCATTGTACATGAGGCTAAGCAGACGTAGATTTCTCAACTCTGCAATACTCTCTGGAATGGGCCCAGAAATTTGATTGTCAGAGAGATCTAAGTTTGTGAGAGGCACAATATTGCCAAAACACCATGGGATTGATCCAGTGAGTTGGTTCCTGAACAGGAACAGGGATTGAAGGTTGGTGAGATTGCAGAGACGATTTGGGATTGGACCAGAGAGGTTTGCACCTGCAATGTCTAGATACTGAAGCCTGCTCATATTTCCTAGTTGCCATGGGATATTGCCCTGGTATGTGTTGTAGCCAATCTCCATATGGGTCAGTGTTTTGAGTTTCCCCAGCTCTGAAGGGATTTCACCATCCAGTAAATTTCCTGCAAGATGCAGCAACTCCAATTTCTTGAAAGACCCATACTCTGCTGGGATTAGACCCTCAAAGTAACTACCAGCTAAGTTCAGTACCTTGAGAGACTCCAGCTGTGAGACGTCCTGCGGCAGGGGACCTGAGAAACTATTGCTGAATGCATCAAGAACCTCCAGGTGTTGGACAGCACAAATCCCAGCAGGGAAGCGGCCACTGAGATTGTTTCTACTGATATCCAGGCTTCTCAGGTTGGTGAGATTGAACATTTCGACTGGAAGATGTCCGGAGAAGGAGTTGTAGCTGAGGTTGAGGTCCACCAGATCAACCAATAGCTTGATATGCTTGCCAGATACCGCACCAGAGATATTCCTCTTGGAGAGGTCCAAACCAACAACCATGCTGGAATTCTTGGTACAAGTGACTCCAGACCAAGAACAAGCATAGATTGCCTTGGCCGAGCTCCCATAAGGGGAAATCGACCAATCAGACAAACTGTTTGAGCCATCTACAAACTCCGACTTTAGTCCCAGCAATGCCGCCGAGAAGACATCAACCGCTGAAACTGCTGTTGTAAGTGCTAGAGCGACGAGAAAAACTTGGGCTAAGCTCCAAACCATCACAGTTGGAACTCGCATTGTATATGCCAAGACACCCAGTTAGAGGAAGCTCAAGTTCTTTGCAAGATTGCTGTCAAGGGTAACGCTTCATGCATGGGGACTGTAGAAAGTTCATGAAGGAGCAAATGACGACGTGAATCTAATTGGGTTGCTTTTAGTTGAAGGGGATCAGTGGGTTGGTAGTTTATTTGGATATAGGCATTGGGGAATGGAGATTCATGGCTATTCCATCTGCACCTCTGTTTCTCTGTCTTTTAGAGAGAGAGAATCCAATGATTTTAGCAGAGATGGATATGAATGGGAAGTAGTGAAAGTGTGAGAATCCCAGTCCTCAACCCTGGCGTTGAAGCATCATTGGTCGATCTGCTGTTTTCCTTGTCCATTTATTTGTGTCTAACTTGTGAAGGTGGAATCCCCTAGAAGATCCATGGTTGGGAGTGAGGTGACATGTGGGTCCCCACTATAGCCCTATTCGGGTTGGTTGCCGTGGGACCCTTCAATTGGTGGGTCCTGCTCGGCTGTTGATATTCAGTTCAGTATGTCTTGCCTGCATCTTCATGGACCTGGTCCATGTCTCTGTTGCATCTCCATGGACTGAAAAGTGAAACCCCTGTCGTCACTCAAAGCCCAATTTCCGGCAGGCGGGTAAGACTTTTTAAGAGAATAGCGTGAGAGAATGAGCATAGTATCTGTTCATTTGGATGCATCATTCGTATACTTCTGACTGTGAAGATTACAAGTGATTAAATTTAGAGAAATTTATTCATAAAGTGATAAAGGGTCATGATCGGGGTCATTGAAATCGCGAAGTTTCCCATACAGATTGATGTTTGATGAAAAAGGGGGTGAGGCAGGGGCCACAGGGCAGGATAATCACTAGCTTGATATTTTAACTCAACACTCTAGCAAATTACAATGAAAACAGTAGCAACTTGAAGTTGTTAAATAGAAAGCAGAAAGCAGTGGGCTATCTTCTATATGGGCTAAGGGCTATATCTTCCTTCAATTAGATTTGAAGTTACAAGGAAATGAACCATTCTCTGCAGTATGCAGACACCAGATAATCGACATGGAGTCTGGACGGACCATCATCCAAATTCCAAAAGCTACTCCATTCGCCAGGAAGAGTACCAAGTTCAAACCATCCGATCATGATGAAGCCCTCTACAGTGCCACTGATACTGGGTCAATCTCAATCATGATACCCACGTCAGCTTCATACACGTGGGGTCCATTTGCCAGGCTGACATGTTGTATCATGATTGACCCACTATCCCTCCGGTTACCATGGGGATTCGAAATCCTCTAAGTGTGGTTCCTGCAACAAGGGAGGATTCGAAATCCTCCAAGTGTGGTTCCTGCAACAAGGATGTGGGGTCAGCTTCAGTGCTCTGTTCATGCTTTTTTGTAACCTTGTGAGTACATTTATGTCGCATGGTCTATGATCAACACCATGTCGGTATGATGATATCAGTACTAATTGCCAGAATCCTTGGGTTTAGAGATGGAAAATACGTTGGGGAGTCTCCTTGCGTGATGAATTTCTACTAGATTTGAGACTATAATAAAATTTAGTAATGGGTTCAAGTTTTGGGCTTGGGCAGCTTCAGCTCTTCCTGTGGTTAGACGCTCGTAGATGCTTGACTGCCCCATCCTCCTTAGATGCTACTGGGTGTATAAGCAAGACACTCGGATGAAAGAGTCTTTAGATACAGAGTAACCTCAATTCCAATTGCTGAAGCATGGTGGAAATGATAGGATGTCCAAAATCAACTTGGTCTGCCTTAGTTTCTTCATAAAGCATAAGATGGATGCAAATTTTAGACTGAAAAAGTCAATCTATGAGCCTATGATTTCTGCCTCTTTTACAGTGAAAACTTTATTTCCATTCCTTTCAAATTGCTCTGATGTAAATAGCATGAAAAGCTAAGGCTCAGTTTGAAAGGAGTACAAATACAATTATATATTGTGCAAATACATCCAAAATAATACAAAATACAAGGTTTTGTACTCTACAAATTTGTATTTGCACTCCTTCCAAACTGAGCCTAAGTTTTCATCACAAAAGGTGCAATACAAATTGTGTAGTAAACGAGTTAATCCCCTGTATAAGTGAAATATGTATTTAACTGGTCAGTTTATTCCTTTGATTAGGTTGTCAATGATCAAATGGTACTTTCCTCTCAAAGGGACCCCTTTGATGCGATTCATGTATATCCCTTGGTAATTTTCCTACTGAGTTCCTTTGATTCAATATTCATAGGATACAAATGAACTGGAAGATCGGAACTTGAAACTTGAATAATTGATGTCAGACTTGGGCTCAGTTCTTTTGACCGAACATATGAAGCAATTGCCATCTTAGAGGCACCCTACTTTCTCCATTTCCTTAATGAAATTTTTACAGACATTTGCAGGCTTATACCTCTGATCATTGAACTGTTTCAAACAGATATCTGGTAGATTACCAATTTTGTTCTTGTTAACAAACAACCTACAGCTAGAAGCCAGCCACCTCATCATCCTGTTCGTCTCAATGTTTCTGTTGTTTACCTTTGTCTTGAGTGGGTGACTGAGAATATCTCGAGGAGAGCTGTTGAAGCTTCCTACTGGTGCTTGTGGGAACAAGTGTACATCATGGAACTTTTTGCCTGGCATGTGAATGATCTCTGGTGTTTGGTTGTTGGAACACATAAGGGTATGACGCACATCTTGGATTTCGATTTTTGAAGCATGATCTCTGCTGCAAGAACAGGTCGGTCATGGAGTTCAACAGGACCTCCCGGGTGAACAATCTTGACTTGCATGTTCCTTGTACAGTTGTGCCATGAATGCAAAGCGAGCTTGACAAGGCCATGACATAGGAAAGATAGAGAAAAACCAAACGTCTGTATTCTTGGATTATCAGAAACCACATTGTCCAAATGGTCATGCAAAAATGCAAAGTTTAATTAAGCTGTCTTCTCATCATTGATGCTATCTTTGTGATGGTTTTGTTTTCTTATAATGTTGGATTTCATGAAGCAAAGTGCTTCTCATGGGTACAGCTTTCACTGAATATTCATCTTTGGTTGTAGACTTCTCACTTTCTCAGTGACTGGATTTGGTTGGATTGGCCCCGACTGTTGGGCAAGATGCTAAGTATCGATAAAATGCATTATGGGTTTCAACTTTCAAGTGTGAAATAGTCTTTACTTTAATAGGGAGGGGTTCTAAAGGTTGCACTTAGAAACCCCTGTTCAGAAAAAAAAAAAAGAAAATCAGTGGGTTCAAAAACCGAGATGTTATATGTATCAATACTTTGAATTTCGCTGTTTGGGAACCAATGTGGACTGGCAATTCTATTGCAAAGAGATGAGTAGTTCAGACTTCAGAAACCAATGCAATCATTTTACTTCTTAAGTACAGGAAATATCTACAATTTTAGACGAAGACATTCTGTCATCAAATGCCATTTAGAATTAAGAACAAAACCATTTCATCTTATTAGCAATCAATATGAGAGTGCCAATCCTCCCCTGCCTGATGTATCATGGAGTGGAAAAATCATGCCGTTTTGGCAGAGATTGACGAAATCAGATTCCAAATTTGAAGGACTATTGACATAATTATGTAACAGTACAGAGGAAACATCACTCCTAAAAGAAATTGACCTCACATCAAGTGATTTATGCTGTATGTTCCAGGCTTGCTTTTTAGATCATTCTCTTCTACAGATCACGGTTTGATTATTAAGACGCATATGGAGAAGTATTCGTTTTTTCTTTGTTCTTTTGAGTGTATCATTTGACAGGAATATGCTTCTAGGGTTGGATCTGTATCTCCATAGTAAGTAGGTGTAAGGATGTAACTTGGGCCGGGTTACTCAAAATCCAACCCGAAAGAAAGGCGGGTAGATCAGGCTAAGGTTAGGATTGAAATATGTGAATTATGAACAGGTTTATCTTCAGGTTAGTTTAGGATTATGCTTTAGGCAACCCCACCTAATGAGAATTGGAGATGTCTTGTATTTGCATATATAAATATCATATTAAGGGGGTTTTGACAATATAGTTGGTTTTACTTTTGAAAACAAAAAACTGACACATCAGCAAAAGCAAATATAACTTTGCTGCCGTCGTAGTTGTTTTTGTTTTAAAAAACAAAACCATGTTGTCGAACACCCCTATTGTCTTTATGTACATAAACAAATATTGAAACATGTCTATATATATCAACAATTTTAAGGCAAAGTTTCTCTTTTTCATGTAATATGGTAGATTAGATTACCAAAAAATTGCCATAAATAGTTAACCTTAAATGGAAAATCCTAAATTTAAGTAGTGAGAACATTTTTTTAAGCAAATAGGTGAAAAAATTGGGCTAATCTGAACCCAAACCAACCCAACCCAAATCCTACTGGAAATCAATGGGTTGGGTTAGGGTTGAGGTCAGATGTTAAAAACCAACTCTATGACTTTATTTTTGTCTACTAGTGATAAGACATGAATCTAAAAGTTGATAGAGTCAGGTCGTATCATAAACCTTGAGTTAATCCACCCTCGCCTAATGACCTTGTTCTGTAAGAGAGCTGTTTAATTCACACTGAAAAGGAAAAGAAAAAATGGTTTATGGCTCTAAACTACAAGCTTCGGTTGATACGATCGAACTTAGAAGTTGTTGAAAAAAAATCTTCTGAATATATCCTAATCGGCTAGTCCAATACTCACAAACAAAAGCTACAACCTTATACTGCCTCAAATCACTTGCAAGATCTAGAATAGCTTTCTCATATCCAAGGTTCAAAAGGCAATTTTAAGAGACATACCTGGATATGCTTTGGAGGTACATAGATACAGTGAAAATATCAAGATAGACATGGATACACTAGGGAAACTCAAATAAATTCTGAAAATATATTTAGTACAATAAATTTAAAGCTCTAATTATTAATTTGTAGAAGTGCATAAGAAATATATATACTTCAATAGCTTATGTGAAATATGAGCTAGGTAGAAAAATTAAAATATGCAGATATGTAAAGTAATATAAATTTCATTGTACCTAAAAGAAAGCTAATTTGATAATCAATATGCAGACATGTAAAGTAATATAAATTTCAATCAATATGCACTTCTTAAACCTTGTTTCTTTTTCACCCAAACTAGAGCTATATAAAGAAACTGCTTGATTAGAATTGAGATGAAAGGACAGGATGCTAATTATCAAATATTTGTTAATTTTCATTGAGCAAATGAAGTGATCATATGAGACATTTGGCAAAAATTGCTGGAAGCACTGAGAACCTAAAACCATAAAAGGTGAATATCAGCCAGGAGAATCTCAAGCCTCAAAAGGTACTGCAGAGTCAAGCCTCACTCGGTTTAAGCGAACTGTTCCAAGGATGAATTCAGGAAGTTCTGACTCTTCTTTGGCCTGCAAGCATAGAACCATTAATTTCTGTTGTGTGGGAGTGTGCAAGTTTCCTCCTTCGGCAGAAAAAAAATTCATCACAAATATAGTGACTAACTGTTGTAAAGAATATAAAAAAATGAAACTAATAGATTGACAAGAATATCTTACTGAAACAACTTTAAGAATGTATAGATGAAGTAGTAGATCCTCTTTTAAATTCTATAGGAAGTAATTTTGTGACTAACTGTCGTAAAGAATTAAAAAAATGAAACTAATAGATTGACAAGAATATTTTACTGAAACTTTAAGAATGTATAGATGAAGTAGTAGATCCTCTTTTAAATTCTAAGCCTTGTCCCATCTACATGGGGTCGGCTACAAGAATTCTCTTCTGCTATTCCACTCTGTTTGATACCATATAAAAGGCCATTACCCAATATTGGTCCTAGCTATATGGGGCCTTGGGAGGAGTAGACTGGACGCGATCCTAATATTTGGCAATTTTTTGCACAAAGTGGCTGCTGTCAGGCTTGTATTCTCATGCTTTCCAGCCTGAGATTTTACCATTACACCAAGTAATGACCCCTTGTTCAACACCACATTGATTGTTAAATTATGAGCCCTTAAATCATTTCTTACTACTTATAGCCAATGTCCTTTTTGGGCTGCTCCAAGTTCTTCTAGCCCCTTCAATTTGTAGCAGATCACTTCTCAATGTTGTTGTAGAATATCTTCTTTGAACATGCCCAAACCAACTTAGTCTACTTTCCCTCATTTTATCTCCTATTGGGGGCACTGATAAGTTTCTTCCAATAAGTTTGTTTTTGATTACATCTGTTCAAGTTTTTCCAGTTATCTATCTCAACATTCATATTTCTGCCACACTCAATTTTTGGACATGTTTCTTCATTGCCCAACACCTTGCTCTATACAACATTGATGACCTTTTCCTTTTTGCCTAAGTTCTCCTATAGTCTAGATGCACTCCTCCATTTTATGCATCCTGCTCTAGTTCTATGAGTAACATCCTTCTCAATCTCTTTGTTCTTGATCATTAAACCAAGGTAATGAAAGAGGTTACGTCGAGATATCTCCTAGTCTCCAATCCCAAGTGTTCCCTGATTTTCATTATTCTAATTATTAAATTTTCATTGCATATATTTTGTTTCAGTCCTGGATATATTAAAATCTTTCATGTCTAAGGTATTTGTCTAAATCTAATTTTGCATTTAATCATTCTTTAGTTTTATCAAATAATGTTATGTCATCATAAAACAATATGCATCATGGAATCTCCTGAATATGTTTAGTCAAGTTAATTCATCCATGATTAATGCAAATAAATAAGGTCTAAGTGCTGAGCCATTGTAAAATACCATTACAATTGGAAATGCCAATGTCTCTACCAATAGATGTTCTAACATTAGTTATTGCACCCTTATACATGTCCTTAGTTAAGTTGATGTACCTATTTCACATTCCTTTTCTTTTCAAAATCCACCATATTTCAAAACTCACCCTATTTTTTGGGGTAACCCACCTTATTATCTCACTAGGAACTCTACCATATACTCTCTCTAAGTGAATGATATGAGTAGGGGTGGACACGAATCGAGCTTTCCACAAGCTATTCGAGCTCGACTAGTGAAAATCTCGACTCGGATCGATTTAAACTGAGCTTTGAGTCAAGCTCGAGCCCAATATGTGGGCTCATTTGCAAGTCGAGCCAAGCTCGAGCCTGATGAAGCTCAGTACGTAAGGGGCACGAGCCTAATAGAGCTTATATTATATAAGTAGAAAACTGCTGAATCAAGAATCTGTAAAGAAAAAGGGATATTTCTTGAAGAAGAGAAGAGAAGAGATTGAGAAAGAAAGAGAAATAATTCTGGCTGCTCTCCTCACTAGTATTTATACTTTTTAGTTAAAAGAGGGTACAATGACTAATATGACCTTATAGGGTGGCTAACACATAAACAACATAAAGAACTTAAAAGAACTACTAAAAAAGGGACCCAACAAGAGTGTTGTGATCCCCACTTCCTATCTAAACAAAAAGTAAACAAAACAAGTACTAAAAACTGCACAAATCTACCCAGAAACCTCAAAACTCCCCCTCAAGTTGGGAGTAAATGTCACACATTCCCAACTTGCGTAGGTTATGTTCAAGCTTGTTCTTTGCAACCCCTTTGAAGACATCAGCTAACCGTAATTGAGAGTAGACATAAGGCAGGCAAACTTCTCTGGTTGTCACCCTCTCTCTTATGAAGTGTCTATCAATTTCAATGTGCTTTTTTCTGTCATGCTGAACTGGATTGTGGGCAATATTGATGGCAGCTTAGTTGTCACAATATAACATCATGGGCTCCTCAACTTTTATCCTAATCTCACTCAGCAGGGATCTAACCCAAAGTAGCTCTGAAACACCATGGGCCATAGGTCTATATTTGGCCTCTACAGTTGACCTAGCCACAACTGATTGTTTTTACTCTTTCATATAATTTGATTGGTTGAACTGGTCCTGACCAAATTGGGCCGTTGGATTGGGTCCAAATCAAATTGAGTAATGGGCACACTACGTTGACCTGAATCAAACCACTGGACCATTTGATTGGGTTCAGGTCCATGCTAATTCAGATTAGGTATGGTTGCACCGTCTTTGTGCCAACAATTAACCCAATGGGTGTCCAAAATCCAGTCCAACCCAACCCATTTAAATTGCACCGTCTTTGTACATACACCTGTGCATTTTATTTTCAAAACCCTCACTCTAGAAAACTGTCATTTCTTATTCCTAGTGAAGGCTATTTGGCTTGGTCCTGCCCCAACAAATGTTAAATTCTTCTGTTAGGAAGTTGTTTCACAAGACAAACAAAATTGATAAGCTTCAATGGAAATGGAAGTCTTGGTAGTTGGTACCTCTCTTCTCATGTGTGTGTTTTTTGCAACAAGATTGCAGAGAGAACCAACCACCCTTTTGCATCCCGTCCATACTTAACACAGGTTGGGACCCATTTCTCATCTCTTGGGAGGAGTATGGATAGTGCCAATCAATGTAGTAGATACTCAATAAGAAAAATTGGTCAATCGCTTCATGATAAGCTAAAAGCGAGAATAGTGCATTGAGCATTGCCTTGTGATTTGTGAAGGATTTAAAGGTGTAACTACTGATGATATAAACAGGGTTTAGTAAATGGAAGTAGAGTTTTAGCCAAAAGATCCTTTCTCTATGTCTTCAAACAACCTTGCATTCCTTTCTCCATGTCCTCACTTTTAGGCCATTCTCACTTTCAGGTTTGATTGATAAAAAGGTGTTTCTTTCAATCTATTTACCCAAGATTTGCGTTGGAGTAGGCTCCTCTAAATAAGATGGTTATTGCAGAAGAGTTTAGAAATTATAGCACATATATCTGAATGAGAAAATTCATCTCATGAGAAGATTAATTTGCCATTAAAAATTGAAGTTCAAAGGCACATACCTCAACCAAAATTGCAAGATCAACAACTATGCTTGTGACATATCCAAGCACCAGACCAATGATACTTCTTGCAACAGATGATGAACCAACATCCACATCAATCTGCAAAACGAGATACCATCAGCAACGAACCAAAGCAAAACAGAAGGGACTTTTTAAGGATTATTCAGACCCTCTGAAATAATTTTGCACGGATAATTTCTCATTTGTAGTGTATTGAGCTTTGTTTCAATACTTGTATTCTTGATGAGTTGGGTTGACATAACCCCTGTACTGCTCTTTCTAAGTTTGTGGTGGAATGGATTAGGCTTTTGTTCTAAAAACATGTCAGAGATTGACTTTGACAAACTGGGAAGAGATGAGTTAGGTATGTACTAAGAGTGGTACAAGGGTTAGCAGTGAACAATTTTGTTATGAATACCAAGATCCAGTATAACCAGGACCAGGGTAGCCCTAAGATTTTGATTACCAATGCACAACCAAAGGTAGAAATGTTGTCAAAGTCTTACGATTTACGATACAATTCACAATTTGAACCATGAATCCCAAGGGATTCAGTTCAAATCTTATGTCTGAATCATTTTCTGCAAAAGTCTTGGGGCTTTTGTTTGGATCCTACAATTTTATTCATAAATCTTATGATTTATATGATTCCTGCAATTCAAATCAATTCAATTAAGAATTAGTTCTCTACTGTCATTTTGTTTTGTTTATATTTAGTTTTTTAAGGACCTTACTAGAAATTCACTTATTTAAATTATTTAAGATCACATATTGAGTTTATTTTCCATCATATGTAGGATATAGAGCCATTGTATGTGGATTATTTGACTTTCAAGTCAAACTTGATTATGTTGTCTTAGACTGTACAAGTCGTAAATTCTATTGTTTTAGGTATATAAATGGTAGATATAAATTAAAAAAAAGTAGAATAACTTTTCTATTTATATTCTTCCTTTAAGCATATCTATATTTAATTTTTGACGAATTTTTAAAAAAATAGAAATAATCTTATGACTTGTGGTACAATTCACAATTCGATTTGATTCAACTTTTTACAATTTTCAGAACATTGAAAGGTATTAGGATGTGTTAAAAAGATGGACATAAAACTTTCAACTACCAACACACAGTAAGCATAGTAGATCAAGAGGATGCTGAAACCAATTTAGTTACTAATTACCTCCAAAAAATTATCTTGTCTAAGGTATCTACATGTCACTGCTTTTCCCAAAAGGCAGGCTTTTGTCCCAACTGCACGCTTCACCATCCAATATCCCTGGACGACTCACTAGAAAGCATTAGCAACCAAAGTCAACAAAGAAGACAGAACAGAAAATGTCCAGTGAGATTGACAAGTTCTTGATCCATGCCATTATTATTACATTACACACCTCTACAATACTTGGAATTAGTTTGAATCTTGCATTCCGGAACATGTCAGATCCATCTATAAATCTACCCAGTAAAGAATCTTTCTTTACTGACCTGTCAGCAGCATAATAGAGAACCATGCTGTAGTTTGGTTTTGCTGGGATCTGAAAAAGCAGAGCAGTAATATCATTTTCTGCATAAAAGACTAGACTGAAATTATAATACAAATCCAGAAAAGCATTAAGAATTAAATGTTATCTATAAATAACACACAAAGAACATTATTATCCATAAGAAGGTTAAGTTCATGATTTGGCATTTAGTTACCCTTTCAAATGTTGATACTCAGAAGAAAAATTGGTCCAATTGGCTTTTTTAATATGCTAACTACAAGGGCAAGTACAAAACTATGGATTCTGTGGGTGTTTGAAGGATCCATAGAAGTGATCTTGGAAACCCGATCACTCATTTTCCTGCAAAAGAGATGGGGTCACAAGCCAATGGTTAAATTACCAGGTCAAACCATTGGTCCATGTATTGTAAACTTATAACTCTATTTCCTTTTAAATAGAAAAGTAAAAGAGAAAGCCATCACAAAAGAAAGGGAACAATAAAAAGGTAAGAAGACAAGAACATGGCCCCAAGTCTAAGTACAAAAGAAGACTCCATATCACCCCAATACCCTATATTAGTTTCTCTTGTATACACAAACTCATCTCAGTTTGGCATAGTTGTACTGCAATAAAGCTGTGTCCCCAACACTCTTACGATTCGAAGACTCTTCGCAATTAGGCCTGTAAAGGATACCCGAAAATTTGAAGCCTGATCTGACATCCGATCTGATTATCTCGGATATGTAATCGGATTGGATTTGGATTTGTCCCCATCTGATCCGATTAAAATCCAAATCTGATTGTATTACAGTATTTATTGATTTTAATATATAAATTTTATATAATTATATTTAAAATAAAAAAATATTTATATATTATATTATATATGAATTTATATATATATATATATATATATATATATATATATATAGAATAAATTTAGTATGTTATATTTACATTAATTTATTATATATAAAAGTTAAAAAGTAATTAACTATTTTTTTTTGTATTTTAAAAAATTAAAGCAGAATTATATTAAATCTGAATCCAATCCGAGTCCGTTCGGATTTGAATACGAATCTGAGGTCTTCAAACCCAATCAGATTTTGGATCAGATTCAGATGCAAATTTTCAGTAATTGGATGAATTTGGATTTTGCTGAATCTGATCCAATTACAGCCCTATTTGCAATAGAGTTTGCAGATCTAATAACCTAAGGAAATGAGTTGTTCAATCTAGATTCCAGTGATCAAGCTTCTCTAATCTTGTGGATAAGTCTCCACAGTCCTGTGGATAGTGTTCCAACTCTCATTCTGCACTTCCTAATGGAAAACAGTCTGTGAACTGCTATTACTACAGTGTAATTCCTTAAGGCTGTATTTGGATTACAGGGTGGAAATGAAAAAGTGATATGGATTCCAAGATTTGGTGGATAATGGGCTAATCATTTTACAATCCATCAAAGCTAAGGAAAAACATAACATAAAATTTGCTACTTTTCCGTATTCCGCATGACCTGTTTTTTGGTGCCCAAAGCAGAACATAGAAATTAGCAGATTTGGGAATTCATCTCCATCCTGCTTTTCCATTTCTGCCATAATCCAAAAGTAGCCTAGAGGCATCATATGTACGAAGAATCCAAATGCAACTATCCCTAGTTAAAGCAATCAATAAGAACAATGAATTCCTAATTTTCATCATCTCAGGATTGATCTGAGCTGTCAGGTCAAGCCCAACTTTGTTACTTATGTATTCATTCTTATATGGTTGTCATAGTCCTATGGTATGTTATTAATAATTTTGTGTAATATGTATAGAAAATTTAAGGGGCGTTTGGCAAGTCTTTTTAGATAGATCTTTCAATAGCCCAGTAGACGAGAAGACACACTGAGTTTTTGGGATCTCGTCTTTAAAGACCAAGACTATTTGGTAAATGTCGTGGTCTATGGGACTGTTAAAAACATATGTGAAGGTTATTTTCAGTGCGCAAAGAACAAAACCTTCATTTGAAGCTTCTCGATTTCTGGCTTGTTCAGTCTTTTCACATGCTTGTCTTCAGGTCTTTTGGTTTATGCGATATAAAACAGAAAAGACCATTTTTTTGGTCTTTTAAGCTTCCCGCAAACCGAAAGATGCACCGAACGCCACCTAAATCCAATCCCTCCCCAAGTACAAAAGAATATCAATAAAAATGAAATATGTCTATGCATCCCTAAACTCTTTTGCTGATGGATGATGGCTGATGAACCTGTTATTTACCTCTTTGACAAGAAGAGAGAGGAAGTTTCACCCGAGCTATAGTGGTGAACCACTCACAGAGGGATCTAAACTGGATAAGAAGGGAAATATTCAATTGTCCATTCCATTACGAAAACAATTACATACATAGTTAAATGGTTAAGAGACTGTTGGGAACAATAATGGGAAAGTAATTGTAATGATGAGTTTGTTACAGTAATGACAAAATGATTGTGATGAGAGTATCTTTTCCAGTGATTTCCAGTGGGTCAAGTCTTTGGATCTCCTGAACTGTAACATCCTCTCCCCCTTTGAACCAGCGAGTCCACTCGCTCCATCTCTCCCATGTGGCATCGGTCTCTGCCTTGTTGCAGAGATTTGATCATATGCATCTGTCAAGAATGGTCTGTAGATAGGAATTAAGTGTTACCATCTGGAAGCAAGGGAGCTAAGGTTGGGCTGGAGACAGAGTTCTGCTCCAACTTCTTTTTGAGGAGTGAGACACGGAGTAGCTCTAGTGGCTGAATGGAAGGTGGGGTTGTACCACCACTCGACTAAAGGTAGCCAATGAGACCAGGTGTGAGGGTGAGATCAGTGTTTTAAAGGGCGTGGGAGGCGTACGCCTAGAGGCGCACCTCCAGGCGAGGTGCTCCCAAAACGCCCTAAGGCATATGCCAGAGACGCTGACACCTCTGATGCGTACGGTTCATGTACTTTTTTCATGAGGCGTTCCAGAGGCGTATGCCTCATGCGCCTCATGCACATCTTATATAAAAAGACAAAAAAAAAGAAAAATGAAAAAAAGGAAAGGAAAGGAAAGGAAAAGAAAGGGAAGGGAAAGAAAAAGAAAGAGAAGAAAAAAAAGAGAAAAGGAAAGAAAAGAAAAGGAAGGGGAAGGGGAAGGGGAAGGGGAAGGGGAAGGGAAGAAAAGATAATGGAAAAGAAAGTGGTTTGCCCCCTGCCCCTTCAGCTGGGGGGGCTTGGCCCCCAGACCCCCCCCTTCAACTAATGTTATGAATCTTTATTCTTCTTAATATAAAAGATTTTTATTAAAAATAAAGAAGTGCAGCTCTTGCGTTCTGAACTATGCCTCATGCCTCTAGGTAGTGGAGCGCCTCACGTCACGCCTCCACGTTTTAAAACACTGGGTGAGATCAGGTGAAGCAGTGCAGGTACGTCTCTAAGGTCTGGTTCAAGACCTCCATCTGGCCATTAGACTGGGAGTGATATGCCAAGCTCATGTTTAAGGTGGTCGTTGAAGAGAAAATAGTTCCTTCCAAAAGGAGCTAGTAAACGTAGCCATGTAGGATCATAATCACTAATGATCAACTTGGGCATTCTGTGTAGTTGAACACACCATCCATGAAAGTTTGAGCTACATCACGAGCAATGTAGGGGTGGCATAGAGGTAGGAAGTGCCCATACTTGGAGAGGTGGTCTACGATCACCATATCACTGATTTCCAATTGGAGAGGGGTAGCCCTTCAATTAAATCCATGGACACGTCTGTCCAGATTTGTTCCAGGGTTGGCAAGGGTTACAACATCCTGGTAAGGGAACATTTTCACATCTAGGTCCAGATTTGTTGGCATACCTTGCATTCTCACATCTTAGGTCCTGACTTGGTTTTTGTATCCCTTGCAGCAACATATGGTCTTGATCCATTTCAGAATATTATGGAATCCAAAGTGCCCTCCTAATGATGAATTGTAGCTTTCTTCGAAGATTTTCTTGCAAAGGTTGGAGCCCAAACTCAATAGCAATCTTCCCTTCTTCTACACCAGCTCTTCTTGAACCTCATAGTGTTTCATCCTTGCTTCACCTTACGGTATTTGCTAGATGACCTTTTGCATTTTGGAATCCCCTACCACCTCTTGTTTAAGATCACCCAGCCATGATGGAGCTGGGCTTGAAAGAGCCAACATATCTCTCCTTCACTTTGCTGAGACAGGGCATTAGCAACAATATCCTCTTGGCCCTTCCTATATGAGATTTCATAGTCAAAACCGAGGAGCTTGCTAATGAGTCATTTCTGTATGGGTGTTGTGATCTTTTGATCCAAAAGGAATTTAAGACTTTGGTGAGTTGACCTGATCTTGAACCTCCTCCCCAAAAGATAAGACCTTCATTTCTGGATAGCCTTTATGACAGCCAAAAGCTCCTTATCATATGTTTTTTTTTTTTTTTTTTTTTTTTTTTAAGCCAGCTCCTTATCATATGTTGACAGAGCTAGATTCTTCCCATGCAGTTTCTTGTTGAAAAAGGAGATACTTCGGTTGCCCATCCTGAGTTAGGACTGCCCCCACCCCTGTTCCACTTACGTCATACTCCAAGATGAACTCCTTGTTGAAGCTTGGTAACACCGAGACCAGAGCTGGGGTCATGGCATCCTTGAGTCTTCTAATCCCCCCTTCTTAAGTAGGGCAGTTAGGGGGCGTGTAATCCTCCTATAATCCTTGATGAATTTCCTATAGTAGATGGTCAACCATAGTAAGCCATGCAGATCACAGACGATTTTGTGTTGTGGCCCCATCTCCACTGGTTCAATTTCTCCAAATCAACTTTGATACCTTCTGAAGAAATTATGTGGCCAAGGTAATGGACCTTTGGGACTGCAAAGGTGCATTTACTAAGCTTGGTGTATAGCCGATGAGCTCTCAAGATGCTAAGGACTTGCCTTGGGTGGATCAAGTGCTCATTCAATGAACTATAAATCAAAATATCATCAAATAATGCTAGAACATACCTCCTCAGTTGGCACTACGAAAGGTGCGGCTGATAGTCTTTGAACTAGTAGTACCACTCCACCATGG